TTTAATAGCAGTCCCCGGTCCATGGTTCACAATACACCGCCCTACGAGCTCTCCCGAGTAAAGTTCACACGTGATAGGAGTGACTGCTCAGCCGTCTGTTCACAGATTCTACCTATTGGGTCGACAGGTTCCTCAGGGTCACCGAGACAGGCCTTAACTTTCTCCATCAGAATTTTTGACACAGTTACCTCTCCCCGGCTGACCTTGAAATCACTTGGTAAGTATACGTTGTCTGTTAACAAGTTTTTTCTTTTCTTCCCTCCACACACTAGTGATTTGGTCCTGCACTCAAAATGCACACCTTGGTAACACTTCACGATTACCTCCCTTACACCATGATTTAACCAGGACAGTGGTAACCGTTAACACTATCGTCTATGGAAAATCATTTGGTTCTGCGGTCCCTACAAGTATTTGTCTAATATACTTGGATGGACAGAGTATACTTCGATGAACAGCTGTCGAGTTTGCTATATTTATTTGTTAAGGTCTGGTAAATAAATATGTTTAAATCTTAAAATAAGTAATATTTACCCTTAAGCTTAGTTGTGCAGAAGTCTATTAAGTTTAAACAAGGTTCCTTCAAATACTTCATTGCTTACAAGGGTCAAATGTTTGAATTCTTTTATCTTTTATCCTAAAACGTAGAGTAGCAACATATTACTTGGTGTTAGCTTGGAATAATACTGTCAAGATTGTTCAAAAAGGTAACTTGGACAAATACTGAAGGTTACAAAAAATGTTGTAGATTCATAAGATTTAAGAATAATAATAATTTTAGTCTGAAATGTTTAAATGTTAGCTTATTTGGTATCAAGTTTGTTTAAACCTAACACAGTTTGAATGCAGATGCAGGCTTCATTGAAGGAGGTGGTAATACTATTTTCCTGGGATCGTTGGCTCGGACAACATTTTCTATTGCCAGGACAATTGATCCTAAGTTTTCTGGTTGGTTGAATGCGTCTCTACCTTGACTGTATATGATGTTGAAAGCATGGTTTTATCTTTGGATAAATCGGTCAGCCTTTATTTCATCATTTATGTTTTCATGGATGTCTGTATGTACCAACTCATTAACCTGGTCATTGTCAGTAACGGTTGGTAAATTTAAAGAGAATGTTCTTTATGAATATGTTTACATAGTGAATCGGTATCAGGACAGGAACAGGTGTACTTGTGACCACACAAATTAACACAGGGAATATTTGTACATTTAACAAAGCAAGACTGTAGTTCACATTATGATGAAAATCTAGTGACTGTGTATAGAAGTACGTTTGTCCTTGCTGATTGTACGGTGGATTAATTTTCATTTACATGAATTACAAAATCATTTGAAATGCCTAGTCCTTATGTCTATCTGATACATGAGTTGAAAGTAAGTTTTCAGGTTAAGTTTATTATGTAAGCTTTCAAAAAACATGTTGGTATATGAGTCTGTTTGCACGCCTGGCTGTTGTGAATAATGAACCGCGATAGATAATTCTTCTGAAAATACGTAAAAAACGATTGTTCTAAATTTGAAAGCTTAGAAGTAAATTTGTTAAATTATTGTTTGAACTCAATAAGGAATGAAAGAAAAAGTAAATTTCTACCCTGAAAATTTTGTTCTGAACACATGAATATAATTTGCGTCGCCATGTTTGATGCATACGAAAAACAAAAAGATAGTGTTTTATTTCTTTACTAAACATTATTGCTACGGTAACATCAGCAATGTCATCATCAGTAGTAAGGAATACATTTGTTTTTGTATCAGAACATCTTGTTTTAACAGCATTCAACACAATTTGTAATGCGGACGTACCCGCTCCTTCAGATATCCCTCATGGTAATCGTCAACCACTAATGGAGTGATTAATTTGAATTTGCATTAGTTTATGTGTAGAGTCAATGCACAGAATCCTACTGCCAAATTTCTTATACATATTGTTTCTCAGTCATAAGCACTAGCAAAAAAATCATCCTTTGTAAATTCTGTCAAGAGGGAATTTATTTTTTCTGTCTGCTTCAAACAAAGAACTGGACTCATAGCGTACTTACATTCTCACTCTTTAATTCAAAGACAAAAATATGTTGCATCATCAGAATGCCTCTTATACTGACAATCTACAAATTTTCTTTTGATAGCAACTATGTTTTCCTATTAACTAACTGATAAACATTGATGTCATTTGTGCTCCTTTCACCTATATTTCCAATGTTGATCTGAATATCGTCTTGATAGTATTTACAGGAATTCCTAAAGACAGTTTTCTAGAAATTTCATCTCTGACATTCTGTGGCATGGGCAGATATTTAGTTTGGTCAAAATCAACAGAATGACTGGGTTCGAATGGGTTTGACCTTAACAGTACTACTTATTTTGCCTTATTTAAAATACATCCTGGAAGGACAGAGATAATTTATTTTGCAAAACACTTTAAGGTTCCATATTGGGGATTTCGTACCCTCACTTTTTCTTCCTGTATTTGGTCTCTTGTATCCATGCCTATTACAAACAAACTGAAATGATGTACCGGTGTTACTACTTTTTTCCGGCCTTCTTTACATGAAGAAAACATTGTTCTTTAACTCTTCACTTTTGTTCCACAATTTGAATTCATTGAAAGACGGAAAAGTTAGAGAAGAAGTTTCTATGCTAGCAGAATGGTCTGATGTTAGGTGGGACAAAACGTCTTTTACTGTTCGAAAAGTGTACGGACAGGAAGGAACCATACACCTAACTGAATTTACCTTTGGCTAAGAACTATATTTTTTCGGGATGAAACCTAATGTTGTGTCGCTTCAAAGCAGAAGGACAACTTAACTGTTTATGACATATATCACAACTAGATATGTGCGGTCTTTTTGATGGTTTTAATGCATCAATTGGTGAATAAAAGCTGGAAAACAGTCGTTTCCTTCCAGACGAATGTGCCAGATGGCTTAGGGGGCTTAGGGGCGGGGCCAAAAGGTGGCAATTTGGCTATATTGCTTTAAGCGACTTCTCTGGAACTGGAACTAAGAGATGGACATCAGCCATATATGACTGGAAGCATCCCTCGGTAGTGGAGATTCAAAATTTTACAAATGGTGGGGCTGAGGGGCCGGGGTAATTTGGCTATATTGCTTTAAGCTACTTCTCTGGAACTAAGAGATGGACATCAGCCATATTTGACTGGAAGCATCCCTAGGTAGTGGAGATTCAAAATTGTACACATGGAGAGGCTGAGGGGCGGGGTTAATTTGGCTATATTACTTTAAGCGACTTCTTCTCTGGAACTAAGAGATGGATATTAACCATATTTGACAGGAGGCATCCCTAGGTAGTAGAGATTCACAATTGTACACATGGTTTGGCTGACCCCTAGGGGACTGAGGGGCGGGGCCAAAATGGCTATATACGACTTCTTCTGTTGAACTATGCAATCAATCATTATTGATCAAAAGCATTCATAGGAGGCAGGGATCTAAAATTGTACAAATGGTGTGGCTGACCCCCAGGGGGCTCAGGGGCGGGGCCAAAACAGTCATGATATTATAATAGACTCTGGGGTCTGTCCTATGAACCTAGTTTATTAGTCACAGCTTGGAAACAGCTGAGATTCCCACCTTATAACCATATATACAATTGCTGAGTATACAGAGATGAATGCACCTATGCTTCCAGGATGGCCTTGGGGTCTGCCCCACCCTTGGAGACTTAACCTTTGGGTCATAGGGGTTAACTTTGAAATGGTTAAGATCCCCACCACAAAACTATAAATACAATTGTTGGGCATGAAGAGAGGAATGCAGTCATTATATTAGAATTGATCCTGGGGTCTGGCAACAACCCTAGGGACCTAGTTTCTGAGTCACATCTTGGAAACAGTTAAGATCCCCACCAAATAACCATACGTACAATTACTGGGCACGACAAATCGAACACAGTTATGCTACAAGGATTGGCCTTGTGCTCTGGCATATTCCCTTGGATATCATTTGTAGAATATTTTGCCATGATTGCTAAGATATGTTACAGGCTCTCTGAGCCCAAGTTTGATCAAGTTGATCTGCAGTTATCTCAGTTTGGTTTGCCCTATGACTCTTATTGAGAGTCTGTAACCACATCTGTATGAATCAGTGGCCATAAAATCGCCAAACCTTTAAAAACAAAAATATCATAGTACCTAATTTGGTGTTTTTTGTGTCTTTGATAAATGTAAATGTGTCTATAGCACCATAACTGCCGGAACTTAACCAAAATTGTTTAAACAACTTAACATGACACAGATTAATTTCAAGTTAAACGGTTTAGAGTTTACACACCTTAATCTTGAAATCTCTTTAAAAGGAAATTTTCACGGGACAAGTGCTCTTTTTTAAATGTGTTAATTTAGTACATGGATGCATTGACAAGCATAAAATACAATAAGTGTTCGTGAAAGTTCTTGTTACAACCCATTGTCTATAACCGATTTACATACCCTGTCTCTGGCACACATACATGTATGTATCCATTCACAACACACATGTAGGCGCGTCCTTAAATGATCATAGCTGTTAATAGGACGTTAAACAAAATTAAACCAAACTAACCATTTATACTAGATCTCGTGATATACAATTATGTTAAATTTGCCATTATCACATGTACGGTTTCAGAAATGACTTTTGTAATTGTTTAACATAAACACTAGGTTATCGTTATTCTTTTTTTCATACCGCTATCGTGCTATTTCACAAAGCAATGGTTAAAATTATCATATTTTTTTCTCAAATAAATTTGTTTTCAGCCACAATATTGTTTTCCGCCACAAAAGGTTTTTTCTAGCATGTGGTTGATTATATACTCATTTGAGAAAACGATAAAAAAAAATGACTTACATGTTTCCATGCATTTGGTATACTTTATCATTTGATTGAGATATGTTGTTGCATTATCTTAGAGTAGGAAACTATGTCAGTAAATTATTCCTTATCGTGAAAGTCGTGTCTAACAATCCCACTGACCAAATTTTTTCCCTTGTGACTGACAGGGACCCGATAGTACAGAAAGCACTATATTTAGTCGGGTTTAATGTTGTCTTTTTCATTTTAGGGACTCTATCTTAACATGAAGACCGCAATTATCTGCCTTTTGGTGCTATCTATCACCATAGCCTCAGGTAAGTATTCCAAGTGAAGTTAAACCTATCTATATGACAATAATAATGTCAGTATGGACAGATGATAATGATAAATAAGTTCTAGGCGAAAAGGAGCAGTAGCCGAACTGATGAAAATATGTCATATGTGAATTCAATTTCTTCTGATATGGTCTTAAAATTGCTTGGATCACAATTTAAGATTTTAATAACATATTTAATGCATTTCTTTTTTTTTGCACAATAAATAGGGATTGAATGGATGTTTTTGTATATACATTGCGGCAATGCGTAGAAGTACATGTAGCTGATCTACATATCCTGTGGTACGCGTTAGCGCTCCTTAGTAGATTAGCTACTGCTATTCATTGCCGCAATGTACATGACTTATTAAATGTTTAACGGCCCATCAAACACAGAATACGTCATTAGGGCCAACAGATGGTCGAAAAAAACCCAATGCAAAATAAAAACATCAAACAAACTAAAAAGTTAAAAGAAAAACGTCACTTTGATTATTGAAAGTGGCTAAGATGACTCAAATTTTATTAAAAAGACCAACAGCTTCCACATAGCCTAAAATTGAAGAGACAGTTATGTTTTCGAAGAGATTTAAGACATTTAAACAGAAATTCTCTCGAGTTGACTAAAAGTCGACGCGATCTAATAAGAAGTATTTTACTGTAAACGGTTCCTGACACGCTATGCATTGAGGCTGGACATCACGTTTAAGTAAATAACAATAGGTAATGTATGAATGACCCATCCAAAGACGGGCAAGGACAACCTCGTCTCGGCGCCTCTCTAAAGCTTTAATTAATATATTTAAGTTACGATGAACTACAATAAAAACGTTACAACACTTTGTAAATTTCTTATTTTTGATATTTGTATTGGACTTAAAAGAATAAAAGGGAACAGCAATAATCCAGCTTACAAACACTTCAAATGGTCAACTTCCGTCGATCAAATGGTTTGATTGAAACGAAAGATTTATATCTAGAATCTAATAATAACCAACACTTGATATTTCTTTCATTTTTGAAAGTTGATCTTATTGAATATGATTTTTTTTACATTAAACATTGCATATTATATAAGTTAAAAAGGCTATGTCCGCACTATTTCAAATCATCGATCACCATAGTAACCATCCAGGACACCCATCGGCAGTAGTACTAGTAGGCATCTAGAGATCATTAGAAGTTAAATGTACAGCCGTTGAAGATGTAAATGATGATACATTGATTGATGAAATGCCCTGTGGCATTACAAAGTTCTCTGGGTTTAATGTGCAAGTTGATGTCATGGGGAGTACCCAGCCGGATGTTTGGGTGTTACGAAGTTCGTGACCACGAGGAACCGATTGCGAATCGGAAGTCAGTATTTAATATGACAATGTTATAAACATGTATTTTTTTAATTTCTAATAAAAAATTTTTATATATAGTACAATGGTGCACCATTTATGATTTTTGTAATGTTTATTATTATTTCTCGCAACAACGTTATCTTGGAAAAGGGGAGATATCTCTTCTCAGAAACGGAACTATGCGTAGTAATATGATCTATGATTGTTTGTGAAATCAGCTGACTGGTTGCACGAGAATAGTTGTATTCATAGTCGATTCATTTTTTAATAGCAGTTGATTTCAGTTGGTAGAATCATGAACAGAACAAACATCAAGAATGTAAATATAAGGCAGGGAAGTCTGACCCTCATGGCTGTACTAGTTTCTTTTTTTTGCAGCTGTGGATCTAAAAAGTGTCCTTTTAAGTAAGTATCTTCTCGAAAATTTGTGAAGTCCAATGTAATACGTCTATTTCACACACAATTCTGTTGATGTAAATATTGTAACTTTTATATTTATTGATGTACTTGAACATTATAAGATGTCCAACATAAACCTCGATAGTATATAGATGTAGTTTGTCCCACAGAAGTATGAATATTTATATATATTAAAGATGCACCAATCAAACCTGAATATAAATATACATTTAACATATTGCACCCAAATTTTAATATAATAATATACATGTGCTGTATGCATCAAAGATGTTTCGCTTAAACCTGAATTATATGCAAGATTTGATTTAGGTCCTATTAACTGCTGTGTTTAACTAAGAATGTGCCTTTGTTTGTGTATATTATATACGTGCATGTGAATGTGTTATTAAGGAATGTTTTACATGTAAGATGTCATAATCAGTCCTGAATATTACTTCCATGCACAATGTCCAATTTATAGTTCAGAAAGAAATGGGTACTGTCCCGAGGCTGGGACACACTTACAACAATAGCGTGCATACATCGTGCGCACATCGTCCACACAACTGGTGCGATTTAACAAACGTTCGCCCTGTTGTGCGCTATTGGTACAGTTGGTTGATTAACATTATGGATTGAAAGAAAACAAATCCTGGAGGTTGGTACGAAGTAAAGATACACTGTATATATTCAATGTTTCGACGCTATAATTTAGATTAAGTTCAACTTTCGAATGCTTGTTACACAATATTACAGTGTTCGTTAGACTGTTTATATGTGCTTCAATTTTACACGTGCCTATTTTGATCATTCAAAAAATTCGGAAATTACCATTTCTAAATTTAAGAAAATACAGATAAAAAGATCAGCTTATAAATGTAGGTAAATTATAGTATTAACTTATATTGCATATCGGTTTAAACATGAAATAGTATTTAGCTCTGTATCAAAACATATAAGGATGTGCTCTGTTTTGTATTAAGGTTAAAAATAACAGAAAACCAAAGATTGAAAGTGAAACATGTCATCTATTTAATAGAATAAATGACGGTATAAAATATCATCTTTTACTTATTGTACATACTTGTACAAAGGTTTCTGTTACACAAGATGAAGCAAAATAATTAGACCCCATTTATACAAAGATGGGGATGGTATAAAATATCATCTTTTTACTTATTGTACACAATTGTACAAAGGTTTCTGTTACACAAGATGAAACAGAATAATTAGACCCCATTAGTACAAAGATGGGAATTAACTGGCGCCTCATTTATTTAACATATACTAGCGGAAAAAAGAAACTGTGCAGGAGTGACGTAAACACAGCAGGGGTCAAAACTGAGTTAACAAAGTTTGAACACCTCGTATGTCCACCGTTTGCCTGAATCGAGCCTGGCAACGTCGACGCATGGAGCCTATCAGACGGTTCAAGAATGTATCAACGCTGCAGGCAAAACAGCCAACATCACCCATTGATTAGGTAATGCCCGTAATCTGCGCTTCATTTCATCCCAGACGTGTTAAATGGGCGACAGATCGGGGGAAACAGCAGACCAGAGCAACACGTCAACGTTCTGCTGGGCCAGAAAGTCCATAGCGACACGAGCTGTGTGTGGCCTGGCGTTGTCCTGCTGTAGCGTAATGTGACGTTGTTGCCCTTGCACGAATGGAACGACGTGGGTCCGGAGGATCTCGTCACGGTAACGTGGCGCGTTCACATTCCCGTTACCAACCACCAGAGGTGTTATCCCGTTGGTTGTGATGCCGCCCAAAATCATAACGCTGCCTCCACCGAAAGAACGTCGTTGTACCACACACGCGTCACGGAAACGTTCTCCAACGCGAGGATACACTCTGGAACGGCCGTCACTACTATCCAGGTGGACTCGCAACTCGTCCGTAAACAAAATGCCAGCCCAATCCCGTCAAGTAAATCGCAGATGCCTTCTGCACCAGTCCAGACGTGCTACATGATGACGTGACAGAAGAACTGGGCGGATTGCAGGACGTCGCGGACGGATTGCGCGTTCACGCAATCGGTTCCGTACAGTTCTCGGGCTTATTGGTAGCAACCCAGGGATTGTCCGTGCAGTCAAACTTGCCGTTTGGAAGCGATTTCTCAAATGGACAAGCCGCATATGGTTGTCCTGTTGACGTGACGTCACACGTGGACGTCCCCGCACGAGGTCGATCGCCGACGTGGCCAAACTGTTGATGTAGTCTCCATAAATCCCAGATTGTGTTTCGATGGACATGAAATCGTGTAGAGACAACGGCTTGGCCCATATCAGCTTGAAGCATACCAATAATCCGGAGGCGGTCATTTTCATTGAGCTTCGGCATAGCATTAATCACAAATTAAAACGTTATAATGCTGTTTTTACTGTTCACTAGTCTCAACAGAGTGACCCAACAGTTGAAAAATAAACTTTCATTGTCGAATTGGATGGCTGGACGAGAAAAACATGCAAACTGGTCTCCGCCTATAGCGAGCAAGCTGCACGTGAAAAACTGTCAATGACTACATCCCAATATAATCTTGGATGCATGTCAGTACGAGTTACCTCCCTTGTCCCTAACAGTAAAGCGAACTAAAACTAACCAGCGATAAAAACATTTATGTTAATAACATAAATTAGCCTATAAAGTTCCCCAATTTACACCTCCCAAGATTGTTCGTCTATTGTGTACACAGATGTGCGCAAGCAATAATCGTCCACACCTTACGCACATTGTGCGATTTCACAAATGAAGGGGAGATCTATGGAAGTTGATATATTCTGCTGAAAGCTCAGCATTAATATTAATTGCAACGACTGGCTAACCACTTGTCATTATGTGAGGTTAATGCTATTGTATTTCGGGAGCACTATAAAGACGCATTCGCAAGGAGGCAAGTACCCCAACCTACTATGACCCCCTGCAGAGTCGCAGGTGGTTTCTTCATTGCCTTCTTTTAGGGGGACATCGAAGAAATCAAGAAAAGACTGATATATCCCTCTGCATGTGTATTGTAAAATACAGAATCGGAGGTTTTCTTTTGTGTTTTCTTCAAAGGGGACAGGGAAGAATCACAAATTGAACACTGCAACACTTCTGATCTTTTCCTATATATCTTGTCTTCATTCTCTCCTATCTCCTTTCTGTATCAGGTGATGTCTTCCTAGGCGCCCGTCCTTATATGGCCTTGGCTGTTGTGAGGACGTTCAACCCCAGACAAACAAAAATCAATAACCGACACACACACACACACCACCCCCCCCCCCCCCCCCCCCCCCCCCCCCTCCGCATTTATTTTGGTGTTTTTGGTTTTACGTCTTAACAACGGCCAAAACATTTAAGTACGTATAGGCCTATTATGAATGCGTTTATGTGTGTTGGAGGCAAGCTATGTTGGTGTTGATACCTACTTACAATAGCGTGCAGTATTTATTTTCTAGATATCAACTGTATGATACCGAAAAGTCTTATTTTATAATTCTATTTATTTGTTTTATTTTAGATAAGCGTGCGACTGCGTCCTGTCCATCAAGTCATGGAATGGTGGGAATCTGTCTTTGGGACCCAAATGTGAATTGCATGAGCAATCTGGATTGTACAGGCGGTATGTTCCAAAATGTGCAGTCTTTTATCGCTTAGAGCGGCTCCAAAGTGTTTTGTCTTTCATAACAATCCTAGCTAAACATGTCATGGCACTTTTTAATGGTTGTCATCGTACCATAAAACATGTAAAATGGTGCCTTTGAGAAGGCAGCTCAAGAACGGAGGTAAAATATTCAGTTAAGGATTAAAGTTAAGAGTACAATCGAGTAGAATACACTACAATTCACTGTCCGTTCAGTAAATATCTTGTATATGTAACGTTTTCCTCTCGATATAGTTCTGTTTTTATTTTCAGGTATGTTGTGCTGTCCTCACGGCTGCGGGAGCATTTGCATGAAACCAGTACACTGATGTATATAAAGTTTTATGTTAATAAAGATTAAACCATCCTTTATAAAGGATAAGGGTTCAATTTTAAATTAGTTAAATTCGTTATGTTTCTGTTAATTCACAAACGATCCAAACAAGTGATAATTCGCGAGAAGAATGTATTTACGTTTTTTTTTTAGCATTGTAGCGTGAAACATGTCTAATATTGGTTAAAGATAACATTTTGCTTACATTGCAAGTCAATTTGACTTTGAACAATTTGATTCGGTAAAGATTGAATAATTAGCTGTTTATTTTGTAGATTGATAAAAGCTTAGCCCAAAAATTAGAACCCCTCAGAAATTCCCCGAATTCCAATCTTTACAATAGACACATTCAAACCGAGGCTCACACAGGCAATTTGAAGTTATGATACTGCAAGCCAACCAGTTCCCTATTAAAAAAAATAAGATCCCTGTACCACTACCCTTGTTGCGCTATTTCTCACAAAGTACTAGAGGGATTGTACCCAAATTTCACATGAAGGTTTCCCATGATCATTAGTTATGTAAATCGTGTTTTAGGACTTGATTGCAAAACACAAATGGCCGACAGGCAGCCATCTTGATTTTGAATTTTAAAGTTTGTTAGCGCCATTTTGTTTTTTTATATGTATTGTTTTACGGCCAATTGAAAATGCGAGTCATTTAGGACCAACAACACTGTAAAAAGAGACATTAACGAAAATAAATACATACAATATGGCACCCCGACTCCTGCATACACACACGCAAGTACGCATACACTACTCACATGGAGGCACGTCCTTAAAGGGGCTGGTCGGGGAAAAAAATACAAAATAAATGGTTCTAAATGCGTTCTCTGGCCTTCCAAAAGTTAAACCACGGCAATATGATGGTCGAGCTCTGCTTGCAATGTCCAGTTTTGACCACTGAAATCTCGGAGAAGCCCCGCGTAAATTTAGCGCAGATCTATTTATATATGTCACGTGGTTGTTTCGAAAGTGAGGCAGTGAAGATAACAACAATAGCACGGCGTCATGTGCCATGTCGGACTCAACTAGCGGACAAGACAGCAATACTATACGTACATAATTGTTATCAAAGGTCATGTATGATGCAAGTGTAGTATTCCTACCTATATGTTGTTGTTATATATAACGGTATTGATACCTCGTGCCTGTCATGACTTTTGCATGCATCTTTTTCTTTCGCCGCAATGTTTACATTTGGCCTTGTTGATGACGTGCGTGCGGTAAAATTACATCACTGATCTGGGTCAATTGAGAGTTTTAGACTGTCCGGTGACGATTTAGGATTTCTTTAATATAATTATAATTTTACGCTTAGGGAGTGAATTTCAGCAAAATTTGTATCGGTATATTTCATAAGAAGGTATTTTAAACATGTGCATGCCATTTTAGCAAATATGACATTTTTTCCCCGACCAGNTGCCTGTCATGACTTTTGCATGCATCTTTTTCTTTCGCCGCAATGTTTACATTTGGCCTTGTTGTTGACGTGCGTGCGGTAAAATTACATCACTGATCTGGGTCAATTGAGAGTTTTAGACTGTCCGGTGACGATTCAGGATTTCTTTAATATAATTATAATTTTACGCTTAGGGAGTGAATTTCAGCAAAATTTGTATCGGTATATTTCATAAGAAGGTATTTTAAACATGTGCATGCCATTTTAGCAAATATGACATTTTTTCCCCGACCAGTCCCTTTAAACAACCTTAGCTGTTACTAGTGCGTTAAACAAAAGTAAACCAAACCAAAGTATATATGTTAGTCTCTATGAGACATGCGCAGGTGTTCGCGTGTCAGAACAACTACTATTGGAGTTGACCTCAGGTCAACCAGGCTTAATCTACTGGCGATTTTCTAGTCAGAGTGCGATAACGTGCGGATCAAGGTCACTAAGAGAACATACATGATCAGACACACTATAAGCATTCACTCAATTTGGTTATGACACTAATCATTAATCTTCTTTGAAAAGTGTGGCCCACAATTATACTGTCATTTAGTTCGACAGAATATGTTCAGTTTGTACATACACTTCAACAGAACATGCATAGAAATTTGCATATTTTCCCCACGAAGTTAAGTATTTATATCAAGTTGTTTAAATCTCGTCTGGTGTTTTTTTACGTCTGTTAGAAGTTTTTACATTCTCAATTTGAGACAGTTACGGTCTGTGATTTAGCTGACTGATATTATTTTAGTATCACTATATATATAAACGAGGATCTTTGGACAAAGGAGACTGAATTTTGTATAAACGGAGGGTCTGGTCCCTCTGGGGCGGAGCCCAATAGGGGAAATAGAGAAAAAAACTTCTCCAACTATACAAGTGAAGGGATTTAAACTAAATGCAGTCTGAAGCATGATTAGGGACAAAATAATAAATTTTGTATAAACTGAGGTGTGTGGGGCCCATTAGGGGAAATAGAGGAAAACATTAAAGATCCTTCTCCGTCTGTACCGTTGAAGGGATTTTAACCAAAGTTGTTTTAGAGAATATTTGGGCAAAGGGAATTGAATACTTATAAATGGAAGGGTTTTAAAACAAATGTGGTCTGAAGCATGCTTAGGGTAAAAAAAACTCAATTTCTTTAATTTGTATAAAAAGTTGCATGTGAGGCCCAACAGGGGAAATAAAGGAAAATTGGGACAAAACAGGGACATTCATTTTCTAGGTGTCTTTCCCACCAAAACAGATTTATGTGTAGTTCTTCTTGCAACTTTGTTTCTGTACTGTACTCCTTTGATAAACTTGTATGGTACTCAGCAGGTTTTAAATCGAAATATAAAATACCAGGTGAGCTATTAAGGCCCCTGCATGTCAGCTAACCACTCTTTGAATGATGCAGATATTATTTCAATGTAAGAAAGTATATAACACTATATGGCAGTCGACGGGCGTATATTGTTCCGCCTCGCGGTACTCTTGTTAGATATATTCCTGTTTACATTTTGTATTTAAATATCATAACCTTAATTGTAATTAACTTGTATGTTAGCTTATGTGTAATTCTACAAGGAACCAGTTGAAAAAATATCACTGTTGGTTTGGAAGGACGCTGACATAACCTGGTTACGTTGGCAACCCTAGGTTGACTAGGGTTTCTAAATAATAGACGGCGGCTGTCACTGACAGCTGTTAGGTGTAAATAGCGCGTTTCTCCCGCATTTTCCTCAGTAGCCATTCAACTGGCATCGGAGTTTTCAATACTTCTAACGTTTTTTCTATTGTTAACTTACGTCAATATTCACGTCTTGCGACAGTCGTCCATATATTTCAGAGTCCTAGCCTACTATAAAACTGCCATAAGTAAATGTACGTGAAGATGAAAATCAAAGATCGTTTACCATTGATATAATCTGGTGTTATCACAAACCATTCAGATTGGTTTTGAACTGTTTACACGATTTAACAGCTCATATCAATTGCAATTGTCTAGGAGTATATACCATTAAAGTATTGTAAAAAACACATGTAAACTTGTGCATACACATACTTATTTTGGTTCGGTAAGGTATAACGTTCTATGAACAGCTAGGTATGTCAGTTTAATTGTGTATAATATGCTTTGCGGGAAAATTTCGCAACTCCTTTTCGGTCGGCTGTAATACAAAAGGCCAAAAGTGAGCATTGTCAAGAGAGACATTAGGAAGAAGTTGTTTAGAAAGAAAAAAAAAAGATAAGATCGCCTCTAACAATCAACCAATAGGGGCAGCAGGTACAATTCTTACGACCTTCCTGCATCATTGGTAAGTTGTACTTGTGCCCTCTTCTTGGGGACACAAAAGCTACAAAAAAAAATCCGTTGCACCCATGGCAATATTTGAGATATTTGCATTTCTTTCTACTTCTAGCTACTGTTTACTTCCAAGCGCCTTGCTTTACAACCCCTCTCTTATTGCTTTGATGTTCCAGGAGTGGCACAGTTAAGTGTTTGGTTACTGAGTGACACACGTTTTGTAGTTTGCAGACAAATATTAAACTTGAAGTAAACATATAATCAATATTTCAGTAGTCGGAAAAATAATTGTCACAAATTCAATACTCATTTTCTTTCAGTTTGATCGATTTACTTCACAGAACGTCTTTATAGTTAAACCGTATTCTGGCAAGCCTTACAATATCATTATTATTTTTTAAGTTATTAAGCTTTTGTTATTTTTTTCTATTTTATCTTGCGATCTTGTGACAGAAATTTACAATTTTTAGTGTTGAACATTGAATGGTTGAAACTCGTAGTATAGTAATTAGTTGAGGTGGCTGTGCTATTAAGGTTTTGTGGTTTAACGTGCTTAACGTAACAGCCATGGTCATACAAGAACGGTTGTCTAAAGAGACACCGCCGGAAAGAGAATCTGGATAGAACATTTGGTTTCGTTTGATTTTATATCATGTAACGTCCTAATAACAGCTTAGGTCATTTAATGATGTGCCTCCATGTGCGTTGTGTATGTGGGCATGTATGTATGTGTGCCGGAGAGGGGAATGTTGGAGTTTTGCCTTCTTGTGATAGCACTCCATTTAAGAGTGCTATCTCCCTTAAATACCTTGCCGAAGGCAACCAGCAAAGCATTCCGCCACGTTACATTATACTGCCAACGGGTGAACCAGTAGGTGCCATTACCCTAAATGCTGAAAGTTAAGCAGGGAATAACAAATAACATTTTTAAGGACTTTGGTATATCCTGGCCTGGGCACAGACCCATTGCCTTTCTCACCCTGGGTGAATGCTCAACATTGTAGTAAGAAGTAAGGTATTGCCAAGCCAGGCGTTAGGAAATAAAAGGAAGACAGAAGTACAAAGATCTCAAATGATGTCATGGTTGCAGCTAATTAAAGTTTGGTCGTTTCCCAAAAAATTGTGCACGAATGCCGATTCCCTAGTTCTGCATAGGATTCCCACATCAGGACTTAGTTTTACTAAAGGCCGAAGGTCCACACGTAGATGTAGGCGTAATTTACGTCAAAAATCTGTTTTACTAAAGGTCGTAGCTTTTAGTTGTGTAAGTCTACGTCTGCCTCTGAGCACACG